CCGTCTTCCCGGTGCGAAACCTTACCCTGGTGATCGTAAAGTCGTTTTACATTTTTCCACTGCAATCCGCTGTACCGAGCTATCGATATGATCAACTCTCACTCCTTTCTTCTGCTTTTCCGTATACACTGGCTTGGAATGTATTGATATGATTGACTCACTCTTACTGTTTTTTTCTTAGAATATACGTACACTGCCGTGTTATCATATGAACGACCTTCACTTCTCCGTCGTCCAGTATACAGGCCGCCGACAGAATCGATATGATGCGACTCACTTTACAGTTTTTAGTATATATACACTGCAATGGTTATTGATATGATTCGACTCTTGCTCGCTCGGTCTTCGGTATATATACAGTCCTCGGAATCCCCGCGGAGTAAGGTGAGTCGAGGGCGTCACGGCAGGTACGAGCGGTGGCTGCTGCTAGGAATGCGCACGGAGATTCCCACCTTGCTTAGCCGCCTCGTACTCCTCCTCGTTGTCATGACGCCGCGCTCACGGACGATGAGCTGGTACTGCGGGCCCTCCGAGCTTGTGCCCGCCCGACCGCGCTTGAACCCCGCCGCCCAGCGGCTTCGATCTCGCGCTTTGGAGCACTCTGGCTACAGTCGGCACGCGGGCGGCCGGCTGCGACGGGGAACGCGCGCGCCACGACGCCGCGGGCCAGCGCCGCGGACCGACGACAGCAACGTCTGAGCGTCCTGTTAGCCGCACCGCCCAAGCGCGCGGTCCGCGCCGCCGTCGACGCAAGTGCGCGGCGCGTCGAAGCAGAGGAGCGCGTGGGGATGCGACGCGCGCAGTCGGCTCGACGCAGACCCGCCGCGTTGCAGCATTCGCTCGTCCTCGCGCTAACGAGTTGCATTTAGGGTCGGCAAGTTGGTGGCTACATGACGTTCGGCCAACGTGTGGCGCGTATGGTTGCATGCGTCACTGTTTAGGCAAGTGGTATTGATTGCTTCATGATCCGTTGTGGGCCAACGTTGGTTATGTATTCTGGGGTTGGCATGAGGCTACTTTCGCAAATGGTTTGCTTGCCTATGAGTCTTGGGCTACGTTGTGCGTATGGTGCTTTGATGGTGCTGGCATGGACCGGTCACAGTTGGCAAATGTGTTGGCTACATGACGTTGGGCAACGGTTCTGGCGTATGGCTGCGGTTGGCATGTCTTCACAGGTTGGCAAATGGTTGGTCTACCATGACGTTGCTTTTTTTTTTCTCGGCCAACGTTTATGGTTCGGCCACATGCTCGATTGCTTTGCAACTTTCTCTGGAAGTTCAAGCCCGCCATCACTGATAGCAACTAGCTGGTCTTTGGCGACGGAGATGAACCGTCCGAAAAAGATTATACATGGCCTGTGAAGAGTTTCTTTTCTCTTTCCTGTCCAAGGTGGCCAGTCCACATTGGGCAAGCAAATAATGGCCTCAGATGCGTTTTCCGTTCAAGCAACTCAAAGATGAACAAGGTGACGAACTGCCACCGATGTGGGGAGCATATGATTCAACCATATATGCTCCGCCCTGCCATTGATCCAGGCTAACATCTGCGCACGAGGAATATAAAGGTATGTAAGATACTATATATATACCACTATCTATATAGCGAGAGAGAGAGGGGGGACAGAGAGATGGGGTGGGGAAGGAGGGAGCGAGATGGGAGAGAGCATATATGCGGACGTTCATCTTATATATTACTCATAATATTCCGCATGATATGAAATTATAATAGGAGCAACTAACACGGTTTAAGCTTTGTTTAAGATGTAAACGAAATAGGTTCTTCTATTCGTGCTGGAGCAAATAGTACGAGTCATTCGACAAATTAAATATTGCCAAATTAAATTTGTTTTTGTTTTTGTTTTTTTTGTTACTCATTAGAGGCTGAATGAGTCCGGGGAATCCGACCACCCGTAGTGGTCGCGAATCCACCGTTTGAATGTCAAACGTTCTCGCTGTTCATTCGTTTGGTTTCAAATAGGTAGCTTGTTTTACGTCAAAGGTATATATACCATTCCACTTGATAACGTGTACTGTACAACTTTTTTTAGTACTCAATCCAGGGTGTAGGTAGCCCGTTTCTTGGAGCAACCAGAATCTGGTAGGGCTGGACCTAGTTGTAGCCTTATCGTATACGAACATCCATTTTACGTGGTCATCCGAGCCACGAAATGTGTCAATAAGATTGTCAAATGTTTTCCTCCAACTGTTTTCATATTTTCTCGACTGTTCTGATACTTACCGGTACTCCTTGCGTATCACTAAATGTATATATAGTAAGGCTAACATGTCATTAAACACTGGCACATAATTATTTTCACCATTACGTGCACCAACTTGCATTCCAAGTTAAATTTGTTTACATAATTATGTCAACTAAACTAGCGCGTGATTTTCGATCTCGCCAGATGCGATCGGCAGGTACCCTGTCCCTACACTATGTTACCTTTGGCTACATATGTACCAGTCTAGATATGTACCTGTCTATAAATATTTGCGTCACGTAACTACGTGCGCTTGTTTTGTGGGAGCGTTTGAAAATTACATTTTCGCGAATCTCCAGATAGCAGACGCACGTTTGCTGTTCATTTTCTGTTTTATAGCGTATAACAGCAGTAACTCGTAATAATTTTCATGCTGAAGTAATCAGTGATATATACGCTGACAGGTGAGATTAGATTTGTCTAAATGTATTCATTTTTCGATGTTTTTGAGTCGTTTTAACACTTTTTTTCGTGGAGGCTCTAAACCTCAATACTGCCATTATGAAATGAAATGAAGTAGTACAAAACGTATAACAGCGACGTATATGTTTAACTAAATCTTGTTTTATTTACTCTACTTCTACATAATATTAAAACGAGATACAAAAAACTCATCGGAAAACATTACTTGATTATTTACAAACATGAAATCGCGCTAGGTATAAATACACAAACTATAATATACAGCACACAGTTTAAACTAGTCCTCCTCTACGTATGCGGCGGTGCAGAACAGTGCAGCCAATGTAATTTTTACATAGTAATCAGCATGTTTTACCAAAGATTGGCGTCTGCGAAACCCACATATGGTGTTGTAAAACGTTCTAAAACAGTGTATAAACGGAAAAATTGCGGCGCACGGAAATGCAGAAATTGCCTCTTTAACTGACGCGATGCGCATAAACATACACTAGAGATTCACGAATCAACAATAACTTTCGACGAGAATTGTATGAAGTTACACATTAAAAACGTGAGAGATGTGGACGTACTTGTGTGCTCGCGCTATCAATTTAAATCCGCACCGTATTTACCACCTGTCCGGCCGCTGCAGGCTACGACAGGTGCACACCATAGACCAGTCCTCGCATTTAATTACACAGTAACAATCGTATGGGCCGAGGACACCCATAGTATCTCATTCAGGCAGTCGGCTCATACATATTTTGTTATAAAACTCGGTATTATATAGTTTATATTGGATCATATCGTAGATCGTTAAATATGTCGTACGCTGCCAAAAACTCCGCCTCTTGAACTCAGTACATACGGAAACAAGTGACTTTTCGCCCGTACGATCAACTGCAGAACGATTACGAGCAACTCATCATACAATACACACGAATAAGCGAACATCGGTATGACTAAGTCGTCACCTGCACGAACAAGTAAGCGTTGCGAAAAGTTTAGCATTACGTGGAAAGTAAATCTTGAGTTATAACTAACAGTGGTTGTGACTTTTCTAGAAGAACTCGCGATATGTTCGGCCCTATAGGTGATCTCGTGCTCTCACCGCTTCGTGCGTGCAGCTATACGCGCTCATGCTATAGAGCGGAAACCCGCGAACATATAATTCTGCTCGGCATTGTTCCTCAATATTGGCGGCTGACAGTTAATATACTCGCGGTTCGTTATTTATAGGGGCGATAGATGGCCGATAGAACGTCGGCAGGCGGCCGACGTGACGATGGAGCGACGGTAATTTCGTCTAACCTCTTTATATTGCCGTCAGTAAAGAATGCGTTTATGTTTCCCGCCGACGGAAGGACGACCCGTGCCGACGACTTCCCCCCACCCACACCGTGTGCGTGCATGTGCGTGCGTGTATGATGTGTGTGTGCGCGTTTGCAAATCTTCATGATAAAGACGGTTTTACGACCATCGCATGCATATAGCGGCTGCCTCGGATACACGCAGTGTTTTCTGACACCCGTAACAGCGATAGCTAGCGCGGGGGCAAGCGGGGGGAAGAAATCGCATATGCAAATGGGCGACGGACGTGCGACCGCACCGTGGCGCGTCGATCGCAGCAGGGGCGACGATTCTCGTGCTAAAATTAGTTATGATTAATTCGAGCAATCGCCGCTGTGCGTCGCGGCTAGCGGCGGTGAGTTATTGTTTTATGGCGCGTGTTTAACGCGCCATTTTACGGTCCAATTACGTCGGCATCGCGGCAGCTGATGTGCGCCTGTCGTCACCCGCTGCACCGTACACCCCGCCATCGTACACACAAGCAACGTGTAGCCACTCCACGCGCTACAACCGCCGCTAGAGAGTTCACCTCTCGCACAAGCGGCAGTAAAAACTGTTTGTCAGAGTAAAGGTGTGCGCGGGCGCGGGGGTAGGGGTAGTGGATAAATAACAATGAGGTCCCTACGGTGAGGCGTGCGGCGAGAAACACTGTAGTTCTGCGTCGTTGAGAAAAAAATGTGGTAACGGCTGAAATCTACAGTAAACCGTGGCGGGAGATGGAGATTCTGCAAAGAGTAGCAACTGCGACATTCCCTTAGCGATATCGCTAACATACAAACCAAACACGGCTGTTCCCAGCACCGGACGCACCCTTTACGGCACTGACACCTCTCTCCCGGTATCACGTTGCCGCGAGCGATTTCGCGTAACATATCGAACGGATACTATATACATAACAACGGACAATCACGAGCGATAACATGCGTATTCACAGAGCAAGCCTCTCTCGGGGAAGTGAGAGACAAGGTAGGGAAGAGAGAAGAAAAGTGATGGCAAGAAATATTGCGATAGATATAGAGACGACGAAATAGGGAAGGATATATACGTAGATAGCCAGAGTCAGGGTCAGAGAGAGAGAGAGAGAGAGAGAGAGAGAGAGAGAGAGAGAGAGAGAGAAAGAGAGCGGCAGAGACGGACAGAGAGAGAGAGAGAGAGAGAGAGAGAGAGAGAGAGAGGGGGGAAACTGAGAGAGAAGGATAGAGAAAAAGAGATCGGGCGAAAGAGAAGAAGAGAGTGAGCGAGATAAAGCAACACACAGAGATAGTGTGTCTGCTTGCGAGAAAAACAGTCATAGATTGAGAGGCATACATTCACACACACACACAAACAGAGAAACAGATATACAGCGGGAGGATAGATAGCTATACATATCCACATATATAGTTGTAGCGTATAGTATATATATAAGCTATAGCTGGCGGGGGCCGTGGACGTTGCCCTACATGGTGGGCGGCGTGAGGGGGCTCCAGCCGTGGTTGTCACGCCGCTGCGGGGACGTGTCAGCGTACTGCTGCTGCTGCTCGTGTAGCGGCGTGTCAGCATGGTAGGTGGCCGTCGCGTGGCCACCCAGCTCCTTCATGCCGCCGCTGCTAGCGATGAACGCTGGTGGCAGCGCGTTCTGCGTCTGTGACATCCTGCAGAAGACACACGCAACCGCACAGGTTACTAACAATCGCATCGAGAATTAAAGACATACACACACGCGCGCACACACACGCACGCACGCACACACACGCACACACACACACACACACACACACATGCACGCACGCACGCACGCACACACACACACACACACACACACACACACACACACACACGACACACACACACACACACACGCGGGCATAAACACGGTAA